GGGGTCGGGGTGTAGTAGAATATAGAAGGTAATAGCAAGACTGGTATATCAGAGAAACTTATCAGGCGCTTTAAAGAGTGTCTTTTAAGTAGGGCTTGTCCTTGAGGTGGTTGCAAGGGGTTATAGGCTTTACAGTTCGATGATAAAAACCAGTTTATTCAAGAATATATCCACTTCCCTATAATCATGATTAAATGATCCATCAGCTTTTGATGCACAAGCAATGGAAGGAGGTGTTTGTTGTTCAGTTGTTGGATAAATTGGGAAGATGTGTGTTCAATCAAAGCAATGTGTCTTTAAAATAGTGGGGTTTTAGTTCATGGAGCTGTTTGTATCTTGTTTTAGTGGTGTTTACATATGTTTTAAACAGTTACTGTAGCAAAACTTAATAGCAGTGATGGCTAGAAACTGGAAAATGTTACCTCTAAAATGTTCCTGAGATGGTAAAGGATTTCCTTTCAAATTTTTCCCAAGTAAGATTTAAATCTTACTGTCACATTTGATTAAATGTTTAGTTTTTCCTTTTAAAAAGCAGTAACACTGAAGAAGTCTTAAAGTAAATTGTTAATTTAAAAAGTCTACTATTAGAAACTCTTATCTATATAAAAATGTGGAATGCCAGAGAAAGTAGAAGTCTGGTTTTATTTAATGAAACTTGATTATGAGATGCTGAGTGTAAAGCCATTTGGAAAGTTAAGAATCAATTTATATTCTTCGCATTTGTATTCCGTGTTAGTGCAGACTTTTTGCTTCATCCATAAGTATTCATCTATTTGAGGAATTTTACAGTTAGACACATACCAGTGCAATTGTTGTGCTATAATTTAAGTAGATACTGTTTTGCACAAAAGTGTGCCATTTGTGTGTCTCATAAGCACTACCTGAGACAGAAATGTTAATATAGCTGGTTAATTTTTATTCTTTTATTTTATTTTTTTTTGTTAGCTGGAGATACAGATGATCCTCCAAGAATTACTCAAAATCCTGTCATTAATGGGAATGTAGCAATGGCTGACGGGCATAACAACACTGAAGAAGACATGGAAGATGGTAAGTAAATAGTTGATAAAAATGTGGTTTGTTGGCTTCTTTGTTTTTATGATTTTTGAGGACAAAATGGTCCATGTCTTACCTGTGTCCTCTGAACTGCAACTCATTAAAAAAATGAAACCCTCTGTAGTTACGACTGCTGCTGTTCCATACAGGCATCCTTTTAATGTAGCTATACAATAGGGTTGGGCATCTGAGGCCTTGGGATTTTTTTCTCTTACTCTTTCTAGGTACTCATTTAAAAATTGCTGAAAGTGATACTGTCCATTGTTATATTTTGTGATGTGTCCCTTTAAACATACTGCAGCTGGTACTTTGCTGAATAGTAATTTTGTCAGTTATGCAATTCCTTCAGGATGTTTAGAATCCGTATCTGTCCTGCTTTCTTGTCAGGTGGCAGCTGTGATCATTTTTGGTCTTTGTATGGTAAGTCAGTGGTAACTATTCTGTTGAGGAACATTTCCTCCTCCCAACTCTGAGGCCCTTTTGCTTGTAAATGCAAAAGAAGATGTATTGATATCCTGTTAATAAAAGGGGACGTGTGTTTTTGAAATCTTTTTGTTGGTCTATTAAATGAAAACAAGGGTGTACAGTTTTTTCTGTCACAGAAGATCAAGTGATTTTTAAGTAGATATGTCTGGGCTTATTTAAAGGAAGATAATGAATTTGTAATTCACTTAAGTCTGTTATTATGTTTAGTGAGGAAAATGTATGATGATACTTCTTTTCTTAGGAGAGGATTTGGAGGGGACTGCTGTTATTTTGAAGAACTAAATAAAATTTAATTGAGAGAAGGGAGACAAAAGATGACTGCAATTTGTTCCCCTCTGATTCCTTATTTCATGCTGTCTTGTGAGACTACGTTCAGGACTAGGCTTAAACATTTATTTAGATTTATGCAAAATGTTGAGTGATTTTTTTTTTGTTTGTTTGTTTGAGAAAAGTCAGAGTTTGAGGTGTAAAGTCAAAAGGTGCTTACTTTCATTTATTCAAGAAACATATAATAGAATACTGATAGAAAATAGTAATGTTCCATTCCACAAAGAGAATACGGTTTAAATTCAGGACAAAAGTGTCTCATGGTTGAATTGCCTCTGTATCATTGGCAAAGATAAAGTTTCCTATGACCACATTCTCGCAATAAAGTAAAAATGAGGTCTGTTTAGCCTATGAATTTTTTTTTTTTTGTCTGATTGCCTGCTCTCGTTCAGAGGGCTTTGATTTCTTGCTCAGACTAACTAGCTGAGACTGAAATAGGGAATTCTGGTTTTATGAAAATCAAGTTACCTGTTATAAAAGATGTTAAATGTCTTTTGTTGGGCCATGGCATTTGGAGGGTGACAAGAGAAAATCACGTGGGTTGACTCCAACGAGCAAGGACAGCTCTGTTGAACTTCTGTTCTCAGGAATGATGTTTATAGGTAGAAAGCCTGGTAGTGTTTGCTATCAGTACAGCTAATTGATAACACATTGGTCAATTAGTACAAAAATTTGTCAGGAAGTTGGTCTGTATATACTTGCACAAATTAAGCAAAAGGGACTTCAGTTGCAGAAGCAACTGATGAAACCTAGGCCACATCGAGGATGGCAAGTAGTCAGATGTACACCTCTTCATTCAGGATAACATCTGTAAAACAGTTTCTGTTATTTACCAAATATTCGACTGCTCTCAGAGAACTGGATATGAAGATGTCCCAGGAGGGAAAAGAAGTATCTGAGCGTTCAACGAAAGGCTTGTGAAAGCTTCTGTGTTTATGGTGGTACTCATGTGTTTGTGGACTTTCCATATGGTCAGGAGCTTTGGTCCACTCTGCTGTGGGACATCTTTCGGGGTTAAAATGTGATTATTAAGCAATACTCTAATAGTTCTTCATTATCATATATGAGTAAGGAGTGTCTGGCTACATCTTGATGCTGTTATAGCTCTGCACTGACACAGATAGAAAACAGTGTTATTGCAAAATGTTTTAATTGCAAAAACATTCCTGAAGACTTGCATCATGTAAGTGGGTGATACCTCTTTTCCAAGTCGTGTAAATCAGATTAGTTGCTTGCTGTTGCATTATTTACACATCAGTGCAGTTGCTTTCTTGCCGTTTGTTCTCTTGCTGTCCTGGTTTGCAGCATGATGTACATGTATAATGGACAGCTTGGAGGTTCACAAGATAGAAAAAATGGAGGCAGACATTGGCCTCTTTGTTAAACATGCTGTTTTCCATTGCTGCTGTTATTCATAGCAAGTGGGATCAATCTGAGCTGATAAAGAATGCATGAAGAGAACTTAGATACCTCTTCAGTGAAAATCTTAATGAGTTTAATGGTTCCTGCAAAAGAGGTGAAGAGTAGGATAAAAGGTTGATGCTTCCAGCTGGGTCATAGAAGCCAGCTTTCTGGTGAATTTCTGAGTTCAAGAAACTTTGAGGTGATTTTGTTCTTCCTGCTTAACACAAGAAGAAATGACTGATAAGATTGGAAAAAAGGGCAGCTCTCATCCCTTTTTCTAGGTAACTAACCACAGGCATTGTGAAGAGCACGTAATGGTGGCAGCAGTGGACCACCAACAGGACTTTCAGATAAGGTTGTGTTCTCTCAAGCGGTTTGACTAGAACCTGTTGTTGCTATGTATGATGTCTTAGCAATTAAAAAGAACCAGCTGAAGGAATGTGCTGTGCTTTGTACAGAGAATGACTTAATGAACCGGGCTTTGTGAGCTGGAATAGCAGCTCCTGCAAATAAAGTAAAAAATAATAAATCCAAGGTTCTGATCAGATTTTGTTTGCAAGTGCATCAGTATTCAAAACAGCACATAGAATACATTCTCTTAAAAGTTAAAGTTCAAACAGAAGGTCCCTAGCTAAACATAAACTCACAGCTTTGCAATTACCTACTGAAGTCTCATTTCTGTGAAGAATTGCAAGGGCTAGGAGGCTTTCAGAAGCATCAGTCTGTAGGCACATGTTAGTATTGCATGCAGTATTCGGTTCATTATTAAAATATTCATAGAATATTCAGCCAGTTTCTCCATTAATAATTCAGGTTCAGAATATTTTAATAACCTCAATGTACTTTAAAGGTAGCAACATTTACTAAGAGAATAAAGAAATCTGCTTTTCTCAAAGGTACAAACACTTAAATATGTCCTTCAGTCTTAAAATGAATCATGTTCTGTATTTAAATCTCTAATTTGAAGGATCTTTGTCGTATCAAGGTGTTAAATGTGACATTCATCTCATCAGCGAAAAAATCTTTTCTGCGTAGCAAATAGAATCCGTTGCATGTAACTTCACCAAGCATTGTCAGCTGGGTCTGTTCTTTTTACCTTGTGTTCAGGATCATGTGTCATATTTGTAGTTCAGGGATTTATAGAAATCTTACTTGCCAGTCACTACTAAGTTACCCTGCTGTCAATTGCAGTCCTTTATTGGAAACTGGTGGACGTGTTTGTGACGGTGAAAAAAGGTTTTATTTATTTATGTGCTCAGAATGCTCATCACACTTACTATTTAAACTGTATTTTTTAATATAATTCACGTTTTAATTGACTACACTTGCTAAAAATATGGTCTTTTTGGAAGGAGAGGTTGTTATTTCAGGGGTTGGTGTTTTGTATTTTCAAAGAAATGTCTATTTTAGGGTTGAGCTATGTTATGAGGCTGCATTTTTGTGTAGTAGTTACTAGTGATTGCTCAAATATTGTACTGAGAAGAGTACCCTTCCCTGGTGAGCTCTCATGTACAGGCTTTCCTGAAAAGAAATCAAGAAATACAGGCAAACTTTCTGTGAAGCATCTGTAGATGCTGCGTGGGCTGCCTCTTTTAGCTGACACCATAGCAGCGCTGCTCCATCATTGTACCGAAGTGATCTGAAAGCTGCTTCAAAGAAAAACTTAGTCGGCTCATTTTTCAGAAGCTTAGACGAAGCCCAGAAGTACTGATCTCAATTGTGAATAGGGAGATGTTCTCGAGCTGGTTTGAGATATGTGTGATGCGAGACTAATTTTTAAATTGTTAACTGGGTTATGGATTTTTTTGATTCCACCTGAGAATCAAGCTTGAGAGCATACAGCTCCTTTGGCTGCAGCCTGTCTGGCTCTTGGTCATAGAAGACCAGCTCTCTACTCTGTCAACAGGCAGTGAGTAGGTAAAATGGGTAGGGAACAGTTTTTTAAGTAGATGATAGGCTCCTGGTTAGCTATACTTACATGTAGGGAACAAGAGGAGAGTAGGGAAAAAGAGGAGAAAATAATCCTTTTGAACTCTTCCGTTAGAGAGGAAGCTGACAGGACAGGGTAATGCAAAGGTCAGTGCAGGTGGAGAGGAGAGAGGAAGCTGGTTTCTGCTGGGTACTGTTACTTTCAAGAGATTAGTGGGAATGCTTTGGGGCTGTCAGGCCATACACAGATAAGATCAACGGTGTTGCCAAGATCAAGATCAGAAGTAGGACAACTGCTTGAAAAGAAAACCGTTTTGCAAGGGAGAAGAATGAAATCTGTCAAAGCTCCCTGGCAGTTGTAGACAAAACTTGCTATTTTTCTGTATTGAAGCGTATATTCTTTACAATGTTGCATGTTGAAATCAAGGGAGTTTCATTTTTTAAGTAAGGTAGCAATGAGGGCTCACATGGTTTTTAAAAAAGATTGATCAACACTGTGTCTTGTCTGGTGCCATGTAAAGCTTTCTGAGTGAACAACTGCTTTGCGTGTACAGAAATAATACATTTGTTGTATACTGTGTGCCCTGTCACCTAATTGCATGATCTGATTTCTGGCTTGGTGTCGTTGTACCCCAGTGCTCTTGGCTTCTGGTGTCAGTGCACATGTGACATACCTGCTTCAGCTCTGCATCACCCATGGGTGATGTGAAAACAACGGTCTGACCATGGGTGCTGGCTGCCCTGTATGCCACTCGAACTTCCTTACACCCAGTAGCAAATCTTTCTGTATTATACAGGTGTTAAGTTGGAACCACGAAAAGGAGCGGAGTGTCATGTTCATCCTCTGTCCTTCATCCCTGACCTGTAGAACCGTTAGGATAAGTTGCAGGTTTTTCCTCCCTGTACGCAATATGAGGCATGTCACAATAGAGAGCCCAGCCTTGTGTCTTCCTGAAGCTGTTGCAGTCTTCAGCACCCTGTTACAGCTGCATACAGCAGAAGCAGAAGAGACTGTGGTACATGAAGAACTGGGGATGCAGGAAGAGGGCAAAATTAGTTTAATTGTGTGTGTCAAAATAAGCTATTTTTTTTTAAAAAAAAAAATGTCTCATTTGACTTTGGTTTGGACTACTAAAAATCTCTAAAATTTTCACATATTACAAAGAATACAGGACCCTACCCTTGAGTTATTCTTCAGCAAACTGCTGTGAGATTTTTAAAAAACCCACCAACCAACCAATGGGGTTCATCTGTTTTGAAAAGATACTGTTGCAAGCAGAAAACTAAATAGTGACTTTGTATCAGCAGGGCAGTTGAAAAGATGGTGAAAATCCTTTGCACATCTTGGTTCATGCAGGGAGCTAACTTGAACTGGGCTGTGACAACACTACGCGACAAGAAGAGTTAGAGTGGGCTGTGATTTTATGTTGTAAAGCATTTGATGTCTCTGTCTTGCTGTACCCGCTGCTTTAGAAGAAACTTGAGTGGTAGCAAATTCTAGTGCTAAAGAATTATTAAGAAAATAGTGTACAAAACGAACATGTCTTTGAGTGCTCTGTTTTCCTGAATGGTGTTGCACTGTTTTCAAAATGAAAAAATTGAAACTTCAGTTCATAAGGAGTTCAGTGCCTCTGAGGGTTTGGGGTTTCTTTTTGGTTGCTTCCAATATACCACTACATAAAACATGCTCACCATGCATGACTTTTGAAAATGACTTTTTGGAGTGAAGAACATCAGGTTTTTCAAATAATTTTCTGTGTGTGTTACAGATACAAGCTGGCGATCGGAAGCAACGTTTCAGTTTACAGTCGAACGCTTCAACAGATTGAGTGAGTCAGTTCTCAGTCCTCCCTGCTTTGTACGCAATTTGCCATGGAAGATCATGGTTATGCCACGACTGTACCCGGACAGACCGCACCAAAAAAGTGTAGGATTCTTCCTTCAATGCAATGCTGAATCTGATTCCACGTAAGACCCTTTTAATTATTGTGCAAGTCCTCATTTGATAGTAGTTAATCTGTATTGCAAGAAATACAAACATCTAAGAAAATTATTTTACCTAGCTTTCTGCAAGAGGAAAGAATTCTTGCAAGGGTTTGAGTCTGCTTTTCCCCCCACCTTTCTAAATCCCAAAGCATAAGAGTAATCCTCTCTTTAGGAGGAGCTTGTAGTAGCTACAAGCTTGTGGTAGAATTTAGATATATTTCTGCTTGATTGCCGAGGGCTGGTCTTTGACTGACAGTTTTCTTGGCATGAGAAAAGTTCTAGGTTTATTTCAAATAGAAGTGGTACTGGAACTTCTCTCACTCTGCTGAGCTATAAATCCTGCCCTGTAAAGCGTGTGAGCAGGTAACTGCTAGCAACTGAGGCAGAGCAGTGTATGAGGTAGTCATCTCCTTAAATGGAGTTTGTCACTCATCAAGTGAGATACGAACATGTACGTGTTCTTGGAGTCCTGTGTGCAAATCAAAATTGGCTATCTTTGACCACTTTTCTAAATAACATGGAAGTGTAAAAAGAGAAAAACAAATTTTGGGGCCATTACTGCAGCTTATCCAGATAGAGTGTGGACCCCTCATAGGTGTCCTTTCCAGTAGGGTTAACTCCATCTTGTACCAAATCTCACATGACTTGTGGTTCAGTCTGATTAATAAGTTACTCTTCTCCATCGTTTTTGTAATCTAAAAGGTGAGTGCAGAATGTAAAGAAGAAAGTTGTAAGTGTATTAACTAGTCTCAGGAGAAGAGGTTCACGTGCAAGTAGTCACAGAAGAAGGATTATATGATCTTTAAAAGTGTCAACCAAGGTGCAGCTGGTGAAGCTAAGCAAGCAGTAATGCCATTGCATGAGGCAGTGGCAAGACCTTGTCTGAACTGATATTCAGTCTAATCGTTTTGGACAAGTGAGATGAATTGGAACAGGAATGGTCATAAAGAAGTGCTGCTGAGAAAAGTAGAGTGTTGGGGAATTTATCTTGTGGGAGGGAAGGTAGAACCACCTCTTCCCTTCCTTAGCAAAAGGCTAAGTTATCACACTCTGTAGACACCAAGACTTCTTTGAGTATGGCCCATCCATCTGCATAGAAGTAGATTAGAAATAGTTCACCTCAGAGAGCCATTAGCTGCTTAAACCACTGGTACCTGCAACTGCCTGACAGTACTTTCTTAACAACACTGCTGCCCTAAGAAAATCTCTCTTCCAGCTTCACATTCATAGTGTGGCTTTAGAAAGCCCCAGGGATTCATGCCTTCAATAACAATTAACCAAATCTTAACATCTAATAAGAAAAAAAAAATCCTATATGTGAAAGTAATGTACCAAAAATCCTTAACAAAAAAATTATTATAATGACTATAAAAAACTTGGTTTTGAATGAGTTTCAAATGTTTCTTCTGTATTTATAGGTCATGGTCTTGTCATGCACAAGCAGTTCTCAAGATAATAAACTACAAGGATGATGAAAAATCATTCAGTCGTCGTATTAGTCACTTATTCTTTCATAAGGAAAATGACTGGGGCTTTTCCAACTTCATGGCCTGGAGTGTAAGTAATTGAACATGTATTAATCTATTGCTAGATAGCAGTTTTGAACTTGCACTCCTGAATACTGAGATACCCATAGAAAAGGATTTTTTTTTCCCAAGCTGTTATTTTTTCTTGTCATTGCTGTATGTTCTTTTTCAATTTCTTATAAATTCCTGTACTTAATTATTGTAGATTGCTTTTACTTGCATTGTGATTTAGTATTCATTCATTATTATTTTCTGCATATCTGAATAGTTGTTTTTTGTTTTCACTGTGTGATAATCAATGTCATTCTGAAGCAACATAGATTTTCTTGCATTTCCATGTGTTCTTTGTATATGTGTACAGATATTTAATACTCTAATAATACTACTAAGGCTTATCTTGAACTGAGACAGCTTTTTATGCATTTTCAAAGGCTGGGCCCTTAATTTTTCATCTGTCAGGAATATTGTCCAGAAGAAGCAGAGCCTTTGATTACCATCTCTTATTATCCACAGAAAATTGAAACAGTACTGCAAAACCTTAAAAGCCAGGAACCAGTTTCCTGTATTGAGACATTAATAAAGAATTAACATGTATTAAGGTGAAAAACAGCTTTGTTGGTGTCCTTCAATTTTTCTTCTTCAGTCTGTTATTACTGACTCAAGGCTTGGAAATTAGAAAGTAATGTCTAACTGGATGCTTCGCTACAGTCATGTTGCAAGCTCCTGTTTTCATGTTTGTGTGTCATTCCTATTTCACAGGAAGTTACTGATCCTGAAAAAGGCTTTATAGAAGAGGACAAAGTTACTTTTGAAGTCTATGTTCAAGCAGATGCTCCACACGGAGTGGCGTAAGTATCTTTGTTTAAAATTAGAATTCTTAATTCTAATATTTTTATGTTGCTTCAGGTTGTTCAAGTATTTTGTGTTATTAACATTTGTAGCTCTCATCAGACATTCTCACTTTATCACCTTTAATTGATGAATTCTTACATGGCAATATTTTTCATTAGTCACATAGGGATTTTTGTATAAGTTAAATTTCCATTTGCATTAGTCAGCATAATGTTCTGGTACTTTAACTTCTGTATGAATTGATTTGTGATTTTAATACTTCTGCAAATCTAGCCTCAACATTTCTGATCGTGCAGCTGATAGCAGGGTTTCAGACACAGTCAGGTGGCTCTGCTATCTTAACTTGCCTTGGTTTACAATAGTTTTAAAACTGCCTCGTCTGAGTTGTTCTACTTCAGGTCACTTGTAAACAAAGTGGTTGTACTGAAGTGCAGACTTGCCCTTAAAAGTACAGCTCTCAGTTCCAGTACACTTTCATAATACATAATTTTTCTCCCATATAGAAGATCTTTAAGAAGAAAACCTAACAAAATCACAAAGCATTTAATGGCAAAAACTGTTGTTACTGGCAGGCAGTAGTGTAGTTTAGTTGAACCTTAAGTAACAGTGAAGAGTAGCTGATACCTACCAGCAGCACTACCTTAGAATGAATACTCTTTATAACAGTTAATACAGAACTATCTTGTTTTTTAACCACTAACTGTTTTTTAGGTGGGATTCAAAGAAGCACACAGGATATGTTGGCTTAAAGAACCAGGGAGCAACTTGTTACATGAACAGTTTGTTACAGACTTTATTTTTCACAAATCAGCTACGAAAGGTAATTAATATGTGAAAGAAACTGACATTGCTAATTGAAATATCTGATACGTTATACTTATAAGTGCATCAAGACAGAGCTGTATGTTCCTTGTGCCGCCTTCATTCTTTTAGAGAAGCTGTGACTTATGTGGTGATGCACATCTTACTTGAGGCAGAGTGCAGGAAACTTCCTTTTATAGTTTGCTTTTGGTTTTTGTGAGAGCAGACAGAGTACCAGGTGAAGACCTGAGCTTAAGAGGTGTTTCTTAGACTGTATTATGTGTTAATGTTGCTACGAATTGTTGGAGGAAGAAAATAAAAAAAGAAAAAAAAGATAACTCTGCATCTTGCAGACGAGAGACGGAAGTGATTTCCCTTTCTTGAAATACTTAAAATAGAGAAGTCAATTATGACTTCTCAACTCATAGGGAATGTAAAAAAATAAACATGTACGATCTTTTGTAGTTCATTTGTTCTGTCTTTTAATTTATATTATACAGTTGAATTTTCTGTTATTATAGGTAGCATCTTTGTAGTGACGGAAAGTGTTATAATTTCAGTAGTTTAAACAATTTTATATTTGCTTCATTCATATGTTTTTTATTTACTGTAGGTGTTATTTCTTTGCTGGAAGGAAGAATTGCTTTAAGTATCAGCTTAATAAATACCTCATCCAAACCTAGCGTGAAATATAGTAGATAATGTATCATTTTAAAATAGTGCAGTAGCCTTCATGGGATGAAAACATAAACAATGACTTGGTATGGGAGGTAGCTATCTGGAAGAGGGAATATACTTGGGGAAAAAAAATGTAACTCGGCACCATTTAGTGTCCCAGTTGGGATTTCTTTTTTCTCTTTTGCAATGTGCTGCTTACTCTGAAGTGTTGCAAAAAATAGCGCATCAAGCTCAAGTAGACTGTAACTGAGATCTTACCAATGGCACGTACAAGAAATAAATACTTGACTTGTTTTACATGATGCACCTGTTTCTTTTTTGCAAGAGGTATGATTTACTCATTCAGTTTATCATTCATTATTAGGCCTGTTCTTTTTGTTCAGCACTCATAATGTTTTGTGCATTTTATGTTTTTGGACAACTTCACTTTGCTTTTGGAAGAAGAATGTGGTTTTATAATAGCTACATCTAATCCAAGACAAGACTGTCTTGTAGTCAGTAAATCAATATGTGCCATGAAGTAATTTTGTGATACAGATTTGTTTCAACTGAACTAATCTTTTCAGGCGGCCCCCTGCAGTTCTCCCCTAGCCCCCAAATAAATACCAGCTTTTAGGGAGTGTTAATATCTGGATAGTGACCATATGAGAGAGCTTGATTTACTAACTGGTAACTGTAGCTTCCTTTATGGAAATGTTACTGGATGTCAGCTGAAATGCCCAATTCTTTGCTTATTCTTCAGGTGTTCAGAGCCTGTACAAACAGAACAGACTATAGCAGTAGTTTTAGACGATTTTAATACTCATTTGCCATTATTGCAGATAAGGAAGAATCAGTAGTTGTCTTGTTTGAAAAAAACAAACTTCTGCAACATTTTTGTTTTCACTTTGAGCAAATTTGTTCCTCTTAAAACTGAGTAAAATAAAATGTGTAGTATTCTCAGTTTGCTTGTCACTAATTTGATTATTTCTGTTAATCCTCCTTACTTAGGAGAAATAATGATTTCTATTGCTGTTATTTAGAGCTTTGTTAACAGAGAAGTTGGTGTCAGGAGTAGAGCTGGGAAAGCAATGAATAATAGCAAAGGCAAGCACGTACCTATGGAAGGTCAGGCTGTGGTGAAGCGTGGGTGAGGATTGATGGAGAGGTCCGTCCTTCTTTGCTCTGTTTCCAGACAACAGATGGGAGGTTCTTGGGTATTTGAAATGAAACCTCTCTTTATTAGGAACCAGGTGGCCTTAGTGGTAGGGAATAAAGCAAAGGAACTTTCTCTTCAGAGCATATCTTTATTTGTCTGTTTGTGACTGGTAAATTCATACTTAAATATAGTCCCCCTAGGCAAAGGACAGTGGTGGTTTCCCAAATGGGTCCAGGTTTGATCTTGGACCATGTTACAGGAGTCGTCCCATGTCTGTCATCAGTGCCTCCAGCCAGTTGGTACTTGTGGCTGCATCCAGTCCATTTTAAAACTCTTTGCCATTTCCCTTGAAAAATTCCCCTACAATTCATGAGAATGTTGCAGAAAGTTTGTATAACTGTACTAAAATCATAAATACTGGTCCCAATACAATTCTCCCTGATCTGGCTCCCCTCAAGTTATCCAGTATCTTTTACCTTACCTTGGAATTTCATACACAGTATTTTCTTCCCTTCTTCAAGTAATTGTCTTGACTTTAAACAATGTGTTCAAGCTTATCTTGTAGCATTCTTCTACCATGTAAATATCTAAAATTTTTCTCATATCTCTGTATCTGTTGCTTATAACCGTTGCCTATACACGTCCTCGTCACTCTTTTTGTTCATTTCCTGAGGGAACTTCTCAGGTGTTAAATTAGAGATTCTTCTTTTTTTCAAATGGATCAAAATGCCTCACTTGTTGATGTTGAGGTCAAGCTTTCGGAGTTTGGGAGGGTAAGGCACAAAAATATTTGAATAGGATTGTACTTGAAAAGTGGTTTGTTTTAGCTTGGAGAAACACTTAAGCTTGGAGAAATAGGCTTCGATACTACTTATATACACAAACAGAATGAAGAACCAGAGAATAGTCTATGTGTTAAATGTTTAGTTTGTAGTAAAACATCTAGAAATTTAGAAGAAATAAAACTGTGTTTTTATTCAATGGCAGCTGGAATATAGTAATTATAAATAAGTTGTAAATTATGATTTAACTTGAAAGGAAAGGAGTTCATTGTCTAGATGGTATACAAGGAAACCAAATAGGAAGAAAATGAAAAGGATCTGATTTTTGATTAATTATCAAGGTATTCTGAACTCCCATTTATACCTTTTTTGATGGAACAGTCAACCATTAGGTTGACTTCTAGGCTGCTGTAATATCATCTTGGTTGTTACGAAGAATATTTAGCATTTTAATATCTATTTTATGAAAATGTATCATCACTGGCTATATGTGAATTTTTTCATCACTTGACTTTTGTATCCTATTTCTATTTGTTTAAACATAGCAACTAACTTACTATATATTTGTTTTTTAAAAAGCATTTATAATTTATAAGATGATAAAAACAATGAATAGGGGCTGATTATAGAGATTTGGAAGATTTGAGACTTGATCATTCAACTGTTTCCTGTTTTTGCCTTTAACCAGTGAAGACCAGCACATAAAAGGGTTTGTAAACCAGGGGCAGGGAGAGGTTAAGTTAACTCTGCAAGATGCTGACTTGTTTTGATGTTCATATTTTAAAGCAAAAAAAATAACTTTTGCTTATAAAATCAAAGGTATAATTTTATCTGTTTATATTTGAAGTGGAGTTTGCCTACATGAGCATGGTTAACTGTAACTCTGCATTTGGGTAATAAAAATAGAGAAGCAATTGGAAATCATTTTCTTTATTAGCTTATTAGAATCATTTTGAAATTGTATATTCTCATCGTAAGAAAGAAATTTTCATAATCAGAGTGGTCCAGCTTTGCAATAGGATGTGTGGAGAGGTCGTGGGATCTCCATTCCTGGTGATGCTCAGAACTCAACTGGATATGACCCTAAGCAACTGGACCCAGCTTTGGACTTGGCACCTCTATGAGCAGGACCAGAGTTCAGAACCTACTGAGTTCTCTTCCAGAGTAAATCACTATAAACTCTAAGCTCTTAAGGCAGCGCTTAGCTCATTAGAGAAGTTGCTGATGCAACTGCATGAGAAAGTACTATTTTTGGGGTTTTTTTGTTCTCTCAATTCTTCCAGGTTAGCCTGATGGATTGCCAAAAGTAATGGCATGAAGGATTATTGAGTTTCAACAGTTAAAACTTGTTGCTACTGTAGCTATTCTGCTGATAGTTCCTTATTATATTATTCTTCTAAGTATTTATGTTGTTGTACTTCTGAAAAATTTTGTGGCTAATTAGAACTGGCATAGGAAGCTGACCTACCAACTTCTTAATGACTTTTTTTGCCTTTTTTCTTTCTTCCTTTCTTTTTTGTCATTCCCTTGTATTCTTTTTCTATCAACTTTGTCTTGATCTAATGTCTGTCTCATTTGGTTCCCATCACCTCTGTACTGAGCTTTCATATAACAATGAATGTGTTTCCCCAACAATTCAGCTACATATTGGAAGTACTAACCTTGCTCTTTGTACAGGGAGCTGAAGTGCAGGATAAATTAGGGGTGTTGGACACCTCTGAAATCTAGGCTGATGCAGAAACCAAGTGAGAACTACTGAGATCCAGTTCAGCGCTGCACTCGCAGAAATATATCATTCCCTGTTGTTTCACAGACAAATGTTGAGGTGGCAATTTTTCTGTTTCTTAACAGATTATTTCCTCGTATGCTACTAATCTTGGAGTCTGTATTTTTTCATGTGTTATTACCTAATCTCCTTCCAGAGTTGTCTAAGTTTCTTTTTACGTTCATGCTTTCTAAATGAACATCTCCTTGTAAATACTTTTTCTTTGCTTGTTACATTTCCCTAAATATATCGGTATACACTTTTTAAAAAGTGAATCTCATTTCGGTGCCTATTGAACTGTCCTGATCCCTGTTTGGTCTGTTTGTGTAATTTCTTTGTTCTTAATCTTTCCCAGATCAGTATAATCAGTGAATTGAGTTGTTAAGCTATTTATTTGCTGGACAGTGATGATGTTAAGTAGGAATGAACATATTTGGGAATCTTAAAGTTTCGTCTGACGTCCTTCTCCATGTGGACCATTTCTGGGTTTCGTTCACTTGTTGCCCTTTATGGTTTCATGCGGTTGTTTTTGGGGGTTTTTGTTTTGGTTTGGTTTTTTCCCCACTGTAGGTGACAATATTCACAGATAGCCAAGCTACAGCACAAAACAGAAGTTATTTTCAAAAGCCTATGGTATTGATCGGTACATCTGGTCCTACCGTGCTGATTGTGTAGATTTACCAGGCATGATAAGTTGTTTGAAGGTGTTGAATGCTTTAGTGCGTTTAGTTTTCTAGGGTGGAATAAGGGAACTATTTAGATAAAATAACCATGAATGGAATCTGTTGTTCGCGTCTTTCTAACCACTGTGCTCTAAGAAGTGTTATTCCTGACAATGTTTTTACACTACAGTACGAGATTTTTTTCGGACTCTTTTGGAGTGATGATTAAATGGAGTTATATGAAGGAAGTCACTTGAAGAGGAAAGAGAATGCATTAAACAATATGAGCAATAAACTTTTCCTTAGGTACTAATTGAACTAAATGCTTTTTCAGGCTGTGTACATGATGCCCACAGAAGGAGATGATTCATCCAAAAGTGTTCCTTTAGCATTGCAAAGAGTGTTTTATGAGCTGCAACATAGTGACAAACCAGTTGGAACTAAAAAGTTAACAAAATCTTTTGGGTAAGTTTCAGAAATTTGGACTGTTTATTGGACTATTACAGGCTTCGTAAAGCTTTTCTTTAAAAAGGTTTTGTTTAAATCAGACTATTTTTAGAGAGGTGCAGAAAAGTGTTAATATAGCATTATGTTAATTGCCAACTTCTTGTAGTTTACTTGGATAGGTTTTTATTTATAGTCAGTACTAGAGACAGCTGATCCAAAAGTCAGAGATTTTGGGGAGGGGAGCAGTACACAAACACAGCTGTTAGTAGCAGGGTTGTAATGTACCTGTTACCTGAGAACTGTGTGATGCATTTGACTTAAGTAAAACTCAGGATAAAATATGTTGTTGAAACTTTGCAGTTCATGTATTGTTAATGTCTTTTTAAACATTTAAATCTGTTTTGAATTTAGAGAAATAGCAGTAATTTGCATTTCCGTATTGTTAGTTCTGTATTGATGGCTGTTGTAATATTTTCTTATGACATATCAAAGGTGCACATATTTTTGCCTATGCACAATTTAGAAGCATTTAATGCTGTATTCTGTTTTGTGATTTAAAGCTTAAGAGGAGTATCTGTTGCATGAACTGAAGGTGTCAGAGCACACACACAAAGTAATTATTTGCATTTTCCTCATTCTAGCACCCTCTTTTCCTCCATAAAACATCAACAAAAAGGCTTGCTTTTTATTTTCATTTTTGCCTAGTATCCAGTTCACTACCTGGTATTTTTTCCGGTCTGGTGGTACTTCTTGTGAAATGATGTTCCAGGGTGTAATTTTAAATCTGGAGTATCTAGACATAGAATTACACAATCTAGCTGCATTTAGAGTGTTGATGTTTTGGTGTTTTGGTTTTTTTGGTGGTTTTTGTGGGGTTTTTTTGTGTGGGTGTGTTGGGTTTTTTTTTTTACTAGCTTGATGTTTCTGTTGGGCACAAGTTAGGACAGAAGATTAAGATTAGCATAACCTTTATAATCCTTCTCTTTGCATGTCATGTAAGCGTGGAGTAAGATTTTATCAATAACTGTTCTAAAAGATTATATTTCACATTACGTTGTCACGCTGTATTTGTAGACTAGTCTTTTGTAGTAATATTGGCAAGCATTTTTTTTATTTAAAAACAGGTTAGGAAGTTTGTATCATCTTTTTCACATAGCTGTCCTACAGTTGCATCCCACATCTTCTGCTAAAGCTTGTAGTAGTTCTCTGTCCTGATAAGACTCTTTGTAACCTTCCGTCTTTGTAATGTTCCCTTTTCACATTTTGGAGGAATTTTAAAATTAAATCAGTAACCTCAGTGTTTTATGTGTATCTGGTCATACCTTCCTCCTACTAGCATACTATATATTTAGTTTATCAGTGCTCCTGCTGTCCTGTTACGCTGGAAAGACTTGCTGATATTGTAAATATTTCATCTTGATTTAAGATCCCAACTGTGTCATCTTTAGTAGCATGAAGAGACCTTTCCTGAGAGTGTTGCAGATGCTTAATTTTGTATCTGACAGCAAAGTTTTAAAAATTTGTTCATGCCTGCCTTCATTCTTGGGAAGGAATTTTTTAATATGTTTGAACATTTGGTCTTTTTACCCCCCATTAAATCAGAGAGGGGTTTTTGACCTTGTGAGACCTACCTATGTGCTGTGTAGAGCATAATTTTTTTACTGGGTATTGTGAGTTTCTAACTAGGTTTAGCTTCTTTCAGTAGAAAGTGATGCCATTGTCTGAAGGAGTGCTTTTTTTTTATCCTGATACTAGTATGTAACCTTTTTCTTTGATTTATGACCTTCAAGCTGGCTAGTGTTTGAAGCCTAGGTAGTCAGGAGGTTATTTTCCATTCATAATTATCCAACAGGTCACTTCATTCAGCTTCTTTAAGTGTGGACCCCACACAGTGGTTTTGGCACACTTTTGGGAGTGGTATGCTGCCGTGTGACACTGGCGGTGAGTCACTGAGAAGAGAGTGGGAGGGGAAGATAAAGTTAGTATTGCTATTGCTCCTGAGCACCCCTCTGCTTGTGGCTTCAAGGGCCAGGGTTGAACCTCATGCTGAAGCTAGAGCCTCCAGTAAACATAACTTATTTCATATGCTTAGGAGTGATGACTGTTTCAAAAA